TGATATTCTGTAATGAAATTACAGACATATGACATTGCAGTTACTTTACATCCTATTATTACCAAAGTATTACAAATATAAGTATGTAACTGGAATGTTTTTGGTTATCTTACCGTACTCACGACATTGTGAGTTGGTAATTTGGTGGTTATAAAATTCCATTTGTCCTCAAAAAGTTCCCATAGGAAATTTTAACTGGAAACCCCTCTCAAGTCAAAGTTGCATCTGGAAAACCAATTTGTCTGCTCAGCGCATTGACAGTAAGTGAAACAGAAGTAATATATTGTTTATTATTAGCACTTATTTTTGTCTAAATAAACTCAGTGGTGCACACAGTACTATCCAACTGCTATTTGTGACATGACTGAATGAATCACTTATAAACACAATAATTCCTACCTAGAGCACCAATAGCCTATCTGGAATGGCCAAATATATACAGTTATTAAAGTATATAGCGTTATTAAAGTATCAAAGTGGACCATTGGAACAAACCACACTCACTAAAACCAATGCTAATGAATCATGAATAAAACATCAAGCTAAAAGCTAAATAAATAAATAAATAACTTAAATTCAGATCAGACCTGAAATCAGTTTCATTGAATGTATTCGTTGCTGTTGGCACTGAGCTTTATGCACATTTCTATCATCAACCAAGTTCATGTCACTTCATTTTGGTGAATTATTTCAAACACCTGGTTCTCCAGAGCTTATTTACACTGGGATGGAAAAACAAACAAAACCAGCGCTATGCTGAACACACAGCGTATGTGCATCATGAGCATCAACACACTGAACAAACTATGCTTTAGTGTGCCTATTCTCTAGCCTGACTTCGTCATACTCATATTGTAGTCAGAATGTGAGTCTGATACTGCTTCATAGGGCTTTGATTATGAGGCGTGTCTTAATCGAACCAGGAAAAGAAAAACTAGATATACCTAAAACCAATCAGAGCAACGCAGTAAGTGACGTATGTTGAGCGACTCATAGTTGTCAACAGAACTGAACTGCACACACTCTGGAAGAAGTATTTAAAAGAAAAAATGAGTGTTAACGACCTTTGCCGGTGTTCCAAAAAGAATTTAAGGATTCATTCACGGAGTACTTGCAAACTCGAAAAACATTTTTGAACGAAATAGAAAATGTGAATGTATAGACGAACAAGTTCTCCGTTTAAGATTAGATCTCGACAATAAAGCCAACAAATCTGCACGCATTTGTCGGACCGGTCTCAACTTTATAACAGGAAGGGAAGGACGGCAAACACATCTTGACGATCGACAAATGCCTTGATTGCAGTTCTCTGTCCGTCTTTTATGATTAATGCGCTGCCGGTTTCATCTAAAACAGACATGATAGCGCATCTATCCATCTCAATTCTCCAGTTGCAGTCATATGTTGTAAACCAGTTCAAACTAAGCACTCTTTGATAACGTGATGATTACGTAATTGCAGATCATCTGTCCATCATCGTATTAAGCCCGCCCTGGCAATTTGATTGGCCCGACCATTTCTGAACTGATCATAAATACTCCTCAATGGATCGAGTCCAGACCGAACTTCCCGACCAAAAAAATGTTGAGGGCGGGGTTCGGGCTGGCATCCAGGCTACCTATTTCCTATTCCTATTATTATTATTATGCTAATATTTAGCATATTATTATGCTAACAATAATGTCTAAACGACAGATTAATATGATATGTCTGTATAAAATGTAATCTTAACACATACATGGCCACCCAGAGTATTTTTTCCTATTTTTTTGTAAATTTTAATACGAAAGCTATCGATTATTAATCATGACTTTTGCGCATGTGTGATCTCAGTTGTCCTTTTGCACCTAGCGGTTTTTATATAGCGTTCAGTTGGCACGTTTGTGTGAAGCAGTGGGGCAGGATGTGGAATAGTGTGTTTTGTCAATAATAAAAGAAAAGAAAATCTGGCTTTTGTTACCCGATTAATCGAAGAAATATTCTGACAACTTATCGATTATCAAAATAATCGGTGGTTGCAGCCCTACATTCAACAGGGGTTATTGCACACACACTTACATCAGGGCCCTGAGGGACCAGACCAATGATGTTTATGGCAGAATTTACAGCAGGATTTGTTAGCAAACCGTTTGTGTTGTTCAGTTGTGTTCTGGACTCAGCGTGGAATTGTTACACTGGAGAAATGGTGAGTGGTCTCTTTAATTGCTATTCACTACACAATATATTTGATTTGCCTTGTGTTAGCAGAGAGGAACAGAACCAGCCAACTTCTACATGATATAACTGACCAATATCACAGAAATGTTAGATCACAGTGAAACTAACAGAATGGGAGTTTAACACATTGATTTCACAGTGGACTCAGTGTGACCTGTGAGCTTATGGTGAGATCATTGTGAGATCAAATTGTCGACCGGGCCAGCTTTCAGACCCGATCGGGCTCGAGGTTGAGCTGTTTTCCCTGGATATCAGGGTTTTCTTTGAATAGGGAGCTTCCAGTCAGCTCTCGAGGGCAGCGTGACATGTGGTTAGAGAGGGAAGTTATCGCACCCACATCCATCAGCTGTCCTTCTGACTGGCATCTCACAAACACAGTTCCATGTTGCACATTCATATTGCATATCTACGAACGAATGAAATAATGAATCACTTGGCTTAGCCTATAACAGATAGCTATGGAGAAAGTGAATGTGTCTTATCAACTTAACTTGTTACCTGTCTGTCTGAAAATCGGCCAATCTGTTCGTCCATCCATCTGTCCATGCAATTTTTATGACCTGTTATTGAGACACTGCAGTGAATATTATATTGGGATTGATTAACTTCAGGCAACGGCACAGCTGTGACACTGACAAAGAGGTCTGACTAAACTTGAATATACTTTATCAATTATTTAAGCGATATTATAAAGCCATGTTATGACAAGATATTAGATATGACAAGCATGAAAATGATCGAGTGATTTATTTATTGGTCGAGATATATTTATTTGCTGGGCTAGTTTGACTGCTAAATTACTTGAATAAGTTGGTGTGTTAGTTTGGTTGTTAATTTAGGTGATTTTACTGCAAATTAACAAATCGAAACTGTTGCAGATTACACAGAAAATTAGCTAGTTGTAAAGTATACTCATTTGTTTGGGAAGTTATCTAGCTGGTTAGCAGTTTAGTTAGCATATTCACAGGCTGAGACTGGTGTAAATAGTTTTATTGCACTGCAGTGTTGCAAAAACTGAGGTCATAAAAAGAACATACATTAATTATCATATAATATCAAATAATTCATGCTTTTTATAGCTTGAGATGGAGTTTACCATGTCACAGAATGTCGACAACCCAGCAGACAGTGTATGCAGTCTCTTTAAATATGAAACACAAAACGTGACTAATTTAACACGTTTAGGTCACTTGCCCGTACACGGGCAACCTAAATTTACTTCACTATAGACCTTATGCACCAGAGAAACGTGGGCGCCGTCATCTTTAGAATATTGTCTTTGAACTTCCGTTTTTGCGGTCGCTCTGTATATCGGCATCGCTGACGAGGAGTAATTAGCTGGTGAAGTGGATTTACTTATTGTACAGTTAAAACAAGTTATCATGAGCATTGTAATGTTTATCATAAGCATTGTAAATCAGATGTCTTAACAAATTTTGACCAGGAATTTTTTTTACAAGCAGTTCATTCATACCTATGCAAGATCGCTGTGAAAATACAGACCGGAAGTCAAAAGACAACGAGCGCAGCGCTGAAAAGGGGCGGGGCTACATAAGGTCTATACTACTATTAAATCCTAATCTAATCATGACAAACTATTTACTATCATTGGAAAGGTCAAAGACTCCTAAATAGATATTTTAGCGCTGTTTTATTTCATACCAGTTATGAATGACCAGTAATATGAATTTATGACAAGAGTGCGCCTCAAAAAAAAATCAACGTTTTTGTGTCGATTGTGTCGATATATCACATATTTTAGTTATCATAAATTAGGTGTCATTTGAAAGCTTACAAACTCAGAATTCAACCTGTGAAAACCGTTTTGAAATTGGACGTTGCGTTACCATAGAAACTGTATTTTTAGGCCCCTCCCCTTTTGGGCATAATCTTTCATAATTTATTATCAAAACCTTTTCTAATCTGGACACATATTGTCAGAAAGGTCTGAGTCTCAAGGTTCCATAGTGACAGAAGTGATATTTGGATAGAAATTTATTAATTTGTTATGGCAAAATGCATACAATTTAATTCAATGGAATTCAATGGCACCCGATGGCTTTTTTTGGTACTATGCCCCAAAAAAATCTCATGGTAACTTCAATGTTTGTGATATCAACTTCAAAATTGGAACACAACTTGGTTAGATATATAGCTTTCATTTTATAGTAATAAAAATATTTTGTAAAATATTTATTTTATATTAAAAATATATATTAATAAAGTATATTTGATGTACTGTAAATTATAACTTCGATAACTTTTTCATAATTTAATTTGAAGTGCTTTCAATTCAGTAATAATCTTCTGATTGTTTTCTTTAAAACAAGACCAGTCTATCTATATTCCAAAACATTTCTGAATTACAACCATATAAGTTTGTAAAGTCCATTTTAATGTCGATTATCAGGTAAAGGGTTAAATAAGTAATTTACAGTTAGAATCAGTGACGAAAGGGAAATTATGCTAATCTGAACCATGTCTGGATAAGCGCAGCACATATGCAAAAACAGCCTTTAAACATTAAAACCGTGAAGCGTAATATATACTGCAATATCTCTCATTAAAATGCGTCATTCGCACAACAACTGTTACATTAACAGTTTTTTGATGAATTTGACGAATTCTAGATGGAAAATCAGACGGTTAAAGTAAAAAGGAAAAAAAACAACAAGAATGTCAGCAAGTGTTTGCCTGGATTAAGGTCAGCAAACTTTATCCGAGAACTGACAAAAATATCAATTGTTCGTCGTCGTGGTAATAAATATGTTAAGTGCACTAACCAGTCAGCAGGTCGCTGGATCCGTCACATTCTCCAGTAGTATTCAAACTCTCATCTCCAGATTTCACCTTCATGTTGTCTTCGCAAGGAATAGCCTACACTTTGATAAAATACCTCCAATCCCGTCAGAGAGAAAAACACTATTGCATTACCTGCCAATAAAGCCAGGTAATGTAGGCTATATGCAGGGCTTTAGAGTGTGAATAATGTTGTTATATTTCCATTAGAAGTTCCCATCGGTCGTCGGCTGCGTGCAGGGTTGATTTTGCTCCAGTAGCCAATCCGGTTCGTTCATGCGGAACATGTGTTGACTGTTATGACTGTTCTATCAAAGACAGTTCTTCTGTGTTTTTATAAAAGAGTCTCTGCACCGCCTCACTGCCATCTGCTCTGCCCTACTGCAATATGAATGAAGTTGCTCCGTGAATCAGGACCGTGTCTCTGTCTCCATGCCTGAGTCACACCGCGTGTTTGGGCATCATCATCATCACTGGCACGTTCCAAATCGAATCAGAACCATTTAAGCGCGTTCCAAAACATTCCAGCATCAGCAGTTGCACATTCCAAAGCAAAACTATTTTTGGCTCTTTGTGAATATTCATTTTGTCTCTTTCTGAATCCGTTCTCTTTTTAGAAAGAGAAGATGCTCAAAAGCATTTTATTTGTTCTGACACAAAAACAGTTCTGTGCATTACAAATCAAAACTTAAATAGGCCTAATGCTTTTTTAGTAGGGCTGTCAAACGATTAATCGCGATTAATCGCATCCAAAATAAAAGTTTGTGTTTGCATAATATATGTGGGTGCACTGTGTATAGTATATAAGTACACATGCATGTATATTTAAGAAAAAAAATATTATTTATATATAAAATATTTATTATAAATTATATATATATATACATACAAATATTTCTTAAATATATACAAGCATGTGCGGATATAAAATAATTATACACAGTGCACCCACATATGTTATGTAAACACAAACTAATCGTTTGACAGCCCTTTTTAGTTCTCCAAAATATTTTTTGTTAATTCAGAATCAAATGTGTTGCATTCTTGAATGACATTTTCCAAATCTAAAGATTGTGTGTATGTGTATGTGTGTGCGTGTGGCATTTTCCAAATAATAATATAGTACACATTCCAAATCAAAAGCATTTATACATTCTGAATCAAAGGCATGTTTGTTTGTTTTCCACATAATAATTTTGTGCACATTCTGAATCAAAAGATTTTTTTTTCTCGGCATTGCAAATCAAAATAATTTTTTAACACATTACAAATCATAATCATATTTGGCTTTGTTCTTACTAAGAATTTTTTTGTTAATTTTACTTAATGTCCAATAATTTGTTGAACTTACTTAAAATTTCTTGCCTTCGTTACTCAGAAAAACCTTGTGAACATTACTTGACTGGTTTGAGTACCATTTTGTTTTTGCGGTCTCTTGTAAGTGTAACCCCACATTCACAATTAAAAGCATTTTTGTGCACATTCTGAATCATAAACATTTTTATACAGTCAAAATCATAAGGCTCCAAATTTCACAACATTTTTACCGCATTCTAAATGTACTATTTTCCAAAATCAATGTTTGAGCATTCCAAATCAAAAGTGATTTTAGGTGTTTCAAATCGTCAGTTTCCGATGTATATTTTTGGCACAATCCAAATGAAAAGCAGTTTGTGTCAAAAGCATAAATTAGCCAAACTGATGCTTTCATAGATGGGAATGCATGCATCTTATACCTTTTCTCCTCAAACGAGTCTTTCAAATGTCTAAATAATATGAATAAATCATTCATTTTTTTGTGGTTCGAAATTTTGCACATATTTAATATTTCATAGTCCAGAGCCCATGCGAGGATGAGTTTTTGTCTTGAACTGTTTATAAACTGTACTTCTCCAGAAAAAGATTTATCTTGTCCTGAAAGCTCAATTAATGACATAATGGAATTATATATAACTGTTAGGATGACTATGAATCTGTAAGCACATCTTCTGATATAATATTAGGTTTATATTTATCCATTTAAAGTCTGAAAACATGAGACCAAAGGAAAGGACGGGGGCTGACAGCACAGATTCTTGATCATGAGCATTTCAAATGCTCTAATAATAAAATACTGAGTCAATGCTCCTCTGATGTGCTCTGAGTAACGCACTTTGTAGGCCCTACAATACATGTTGTAATAAAAAGCCTTTTTTAAAACTGCAACATTGTGATCCAAGTTGGATGATTGGAGTGAGTTATTTTAGATATAATGCTTATATTTAATTAATGGACTTAATGTTAAAAATGTGTCGATGGCATTACAGAAATCAGCAAAAATATCCCTCAACAATAGGCTATATCTTCGATGTGTTGGCCATTTGTTTTTTCAACTGTAAAACATATACTGTAACTCACTGGTTGCAATTTTGGTTGAAGAAACTGGTTGTCTTAAATTGGTCATAACAGATAATTAAACACTAACGTATCTCATTACAGCGCAGTCTCATCCCAAGACGTCATATATCTGACGTCTTGGGACGTCTTTTGACCATACGTCAACATCCGCCTAAGCAATAGCGATTAAAAGAGAGCTAATCATGTTGGAGTTGGAGCTTATTGAGGTGGAAAAACAGTTAATTTTAGTGAAATTACTAAAACTGAAAGGCAGAAATGAGAGAAGACGTCGGAGGAGATGGTACGTGCGGAAATGCGTAGGAGGAAATGCGATACTACCAAGCCGAGCAATCATTGCGGTCCGCGTCGTCGCGACGTGTAGAGCCTGTTTATGCTTCTGCGTCGAATCGACGGCGTACCCCCGCAGACAGCTATCCGTCGACGCGAACCCCTCTCCGACCCCTCCGCCGTAGCTCGACGTGCACCTCCAAAAATTTGTAACTACGCATCGAGGCGACGCAGACAGCAAGGGCTTTGATTGGTCAGATTAAAAATAATTTCAGGAGTGTAGCTTTTCCGATTTCCCCCTCCTGTTATAGCGCTATTTTTAACATTTGCACCCTCGTTCTTTTAATTATAACACTCTTATAGAAAGTAACGTTAAATAAAGAATTAAACTAAAAATAAACTGTTTTTTTTATTTCATTGTTAATATATATGTCTATATTCTTTTCTTTCTTTCTCGCAATAAACTTCAATCAATCAATAAATCAATGTTTGTTTTGAAACACAGTTTGTTGTTTATTTTCAATACAATGTTCACAGTTACATCATTGATAATACAGTACTAACCAAGTCTGCCACGGGACACATTATCCTGCCATAGCACAGTTCCATGTGGAGACTGAAAAAATCCTTTAAGTCATTCCGAACAGGTATCATTATGGCAGCTCGGGTGGAACCTTTATTTTACTGTCTATGGGTGGAACGGGCCCTGGACATCTGTGTTGATTCTGTGGGGATAAAGTTTTGTGTCGTCTTGTTATTCAACGTCGATTAGCTCCAGCTGGCAGCTGCAACAACATTATCTCTCTTTCGCTCGCGGCGCACGGAACCAAAGAGATTCGCGAACCCCCCTAGCGGTCTGCCGGCGAAATGCACCGCGAAGCACCACAACCTCACGCAGAAGTATAAAACGGCCACGACGCCGTAGTAGTGACGACGTAGCTACGCCGTGGAGTTGACGCAGAAGCACAATGAGGCCTTACAAGCAATAGCGATTGAAAGAGAGCTGATCATGTTGGAGTTGGAGCTGATTGAGGTGGAAAAACAGTTCACTTTAGTGAAATTACTAAAACTGAAAGGCAGAAATGAGAGAAGACGTCGGAGGAGATGGTACGTGCGGAAATGCGTAGGAGTCATGCGATACCAAGCCGACCAATCACCGCTCTTGCGGTCCGCGTCGTCACGACGTGTAGTTACATTTTTGAAGAGGTGCGCGTCAGGCTACGGCGAAGGGTACGCGTCTGTGCGTATACTACCTACCACACGCACCCTACGCAGAAGTATAAATTGGCCTTTAACCGAGACCTAAACCTACCCCGTCACGGGATCGTCATGTAACCGACGTTTAAGGGTACCCTAAAAAGGCGGATGTTGACGTATGGTCAGTTACATATGACATATGGTCAGTTATATGACTTCTTGGGATGAGACTGTGTTAAAAATAACACTTCAGATTAACATTTACTCGCATGATAAGTTCACAGAAATTAACTTTTTTCGTTTATTCGATTTTACAGTAAACCACTGACTTCCAGCCACGGCCTTAGATCATCTAAGACAAAAGAAGACATTACATTTCTCTATATCTCAGCTTTAACATGCAGCTTCATTTATTACTTTTACCATTTTGACTTTATGTCTGTCGTCTACAGAAGTTCTTATTGAGAATAAACAGGCTTTGTTTTGTGTGAAGTCATCATTATGGTGATCAGTTGCTTTAGTTTGGCTGTTGACCCTTTAGTTTTTCTCTGTTTGCTTGTAATTGTGTGGACAAATTTGTTATGGCAGAAACAGAGAAAATGGGATCTGGTGATTATGGCCGTGTATTGATGATGTCATCATATGCGGGTCATTTACAGCTGTCCTGTGTTTTTTACAGTATAGTTGATTATTTACAATACTCTTATTCATTTACAGGCTTGCCCGCAACCAAAATTGCCAGTAAGTTTATTTTACAGCAAATCTTCGTATATTTCTCATATGATTCATGTGCCTTCAAGAAACATGTTGCAAAAGAAATTGCTGAATACGAAGTTCAAAAGTTTAAGAAACAATAAACTATACGAAAGGCAAGAATGAAGATAGAGACAGAAAGTAAAGAGATTGAAGAGTGGAAATATGGTTGGGCAAGATAATAAGCCTAAAGAAAGAAATTCAACATTGATTTTATGCAATTCAGATATAAAGCACTTTTTAACAAAGGAGACGGCCTCTAAGCAGCTTTTTAGGAAATCCGTCCAAACACGAGAGTCTAGAGAAAAACCAAACCATACCCCCGTCCATCTCCTCAGACATGAAGTAACCCTTTAACCCTCTGATAGCCCTCAGTCACTTCTGACCGAATAATTTTCTGTTTTGAATTTAACTTCATCAGAAGGTTATGATACTTGGGGAATTTTCTGGCATTTGGTATGTGAATACAAAAAAAAAAAAAAAAAATTGAGGTCATGATCCGAGCTTGCTAAGGGGTCGTAAAAACACTCATGGTCTTCGGTCAAAAATGACCGACCCATAGAAAATGAATGGGACAATTCAATTTGTACAATCTACAAATCAGCCACGATTCTAAAAGAAAGTACACCGCAGTAAAGGGGTGACACTCTACAACATCAAGAGTGCAAAAAATTCACACCCACACACACACACACACACTTTTATACACACCAATAAATTCAGATTACAAAAAAATCTGTTTTGAATTTTTTTAAATCATGGCTTCATCGGATTGTTACGAAACT